TGCATTCATTCAGTTAACAGTAATCAATTCAGAAACAGTACAGTTCAGTTGTTCAGAAAATAATCATTTTTGAACATATCTTTACACAATTGTTACTCACAGAGTTTGGGCTACGGTATGCTAGAGCGTGCCTCCCCAGTCGCCAACCCTACACAGTTAACAGATTGAACACACTAAGCTACACAGCTGGGAAAGATAGTAACCTAACCCCTAATGCCTCGGTGTGTTCTACATCTATATCCTTAGTAAGATGACTTAAACTAGGCCTAAGAATGCCTAGAATGGGATGAGGATGCAAAGATGTACTCAAAAAGCAGTTTCAGAAGTTTCAGAAAAACAGGGTCCCGCTCGAGCGCAGGTTTACCCGCTCGAGCGGACATGTAACAAGGTACACGCTCGAGCGTCAACTTTCTCGCTCGAGCGTGCTGTAAAAGTACTGGATGGGTGAAATCTCCGCTCGACGGACGCTCGACGCCCGCTCGATCGTGAGACACATGCCTCCGCTCGAGCGCCCATTTCTCCGCTCGAGCGGACTGTAAAACAGTGCAGAGAAATACTGGATGCTCGGATTCCACGCTCGAGCGCCAATTTCCCCGCTCGAGCGGAAGTGCAAAATCTGGAAATTCCAAATTGCACCGCCAAGCTCAAAACCAAGTTTAAATGCATCAAAACCGATCCTCTTGGGCTGAATTTCCAGAAAACACTTGTAAGCATATAGAATGACATGGTTCAAAGCTCAATTTTAAGAAATCAAAGCCCAAGAGTGTCTAATTCAAACTCAATTTCAAATCAATATCAAGAACAATATGAACATGCAAAAATGCATGAATTTTAAACAACTTCAAAGTTCACTTTGATGCTCTAAAGGAGCCGATTGATCCAAAAACAAGTTGAAGACATGGACCATTACAAGGTTATGGACATGCATATACCATTTTACCATGATATCAACTCACAACTCAACAATTCAAGCATGCATGCATGAAATGAGCTTCAATTCACCATTAATGAACCAATTCAAGACTTAGCTCTACAATTAGACATGAACCATGCATGAATCAACTTAAAGACAAAATCAAAAGATGAAATTCATACCTAGGTTCCTTGAATACAAGTCTAGAGGCTCAATTAAGCACTTAAGCTATCAATTCCTCAAGATTCAAGCCAAATCTCTATGTTGAATTCACTACTCTCCCTTCCTCACTCTCTAAGGTCGGCAAGAGCTCAAACAAGGCTGAGGAAATGTTTTGGTTCAAGTGTGGTGTAGCTCAAAAGTGTATAGGTAGTGGCCCACTCAAGGGCAAAGTTGTAAATGAGTCAAACTCTGCAATTGGTCAATATTTAATCTAATTAATCATACCCAATCAGTTTTCACATAATTACACCTTAAAATCACATTAATTATGATGATCATAAAACATCAATCAACTCCCGGTTCGGCCGCCGATAAGGCCTTCAATTAGCAGTTTAAACATAAAACGTGAACAGATCAAATAATCAATCAAACAGATAGAATACAAATTAACACACACACTTAGTCAATTCAATTCTAGTTTTCAGTCAATCAGTTCAATTCAGTACTTTAATCAGCTCAGTTATCAGTCATGATCAGTTCAGTTTAACGGTAATCAGTGTTTCATCGGTAAGCAGTGATGAGGGTTATTTCATAATGCCTCTTTGCAAGTCTTCCTATTATGACCGTACTTCTCGCATCTACCACACTGTACTCGTCTTATCTTCTCACCCCTAGATGGGATCCTATTTTTCCTTGGCCTACCAGGTGGCTTCTTACAAATTGGAGGAAGGACAACAAGATCATCCATAGCTAAAAGAGGTTTCTCAACAGTGGGTATTGGATAAATCGAACTCAACATAGCAATCTTTGAACTTGCTAGTGTAATAAAATGGTTCCACATGTGCATAAAAATCACCTCCGCTCTTTTGGATAGCGGTCGCCGTGTGAGCACAAAGAAATCCATTCAATTGCCATTGGTAACATGAGCAAGTTTTATTCAAGAGGTCAACGCTAACCGATGGCCGGGATTGAGCCTCAAAAACATGGTCACTTGAATGACTAACCAACCAAGTTCTTCAACTTTTAAGAGCATTTACTAATGTTGAATCTGTCTCCAGACAAAGAAAAGTATTCCATTTCTTAGCTTGTTCTCTCCTTCTCGACATCAAATTCATGATCTTCAACCTAATTGAATCAATCATCTTTGTAGTGGGCAAATGGCGAGCTTGACGGATCCATAAATTGAAAGATTTTGCCACATTCGAGTGCATTTCACCGTATTTTTGTCCTTGAAAATATGCATTAGTCCACTTGTCGTAGGGCAAATTGGATAGAAAACCACAAACGATCCATTTTTCCTTATCTTGTAATTCTTTGAAGCACTGATTAAAACATCCCACTGTCAGAGCGTAAGCACACGAAGAAAACAAAAAAACTATTCTACTCTTGAAAGTATTGCTGAAACTTGGACCAGAGAACCTATCCCTCAAATTGGCCTTCAAGTGTTGGAGACAAAAATAGTGGTAAGAAGTAGGTAAAACCTTGGGTAAAGCCTTCAAAAGTCCAGCGTTCCGATCAGATATGAAGGTAATTGGTCTTTCATCCAACAATATATTCGACAAATGCATAAAAAACCATTCCCAACTGTCTGTAGCCTCCGTATCGACAATCGCCATTGCAAGAGGGAAAAAACCTGAAAAATAACATTTTACGATTAGTAAGTACATTAAACGAAAAGGACAAATATAGCAGATTTTTACTCTGAATAACAGTAACATGTTAATCTGAGAATAAGTAACTTGTTACTTTTGAATAAACTATAGTAATATGTACCTTGATCCCCATCCTTCGCTGTAGTTGTTAACAAGGTGCCCTTATATTTCCCTTTCAAAAAAGTTCCATCGATAAACAATAAAGGACGACAATGCCTAAACCCTTGAATGGAAGCATTAAATGTAACAAAAAACCTCTTGAACCGTCCACTTTGATGGTTATAGTCAAGACGCAAATAGCTACCAAGATTTGTGCTCATCACAATATCCATATACCATCGAATCTCATCATAAGACATAGAAAAATCTCCAAAGTAGTAGTCCTAGCTTTCTCAACTCCCAACTAAGTGTGATTGTACGTAATGGTGAGCCCGTATTGATCTGTAAATTGACGCACAACATCAATTGGACGAGTTTGGGGGTTTCCACGAACTTCATTAACAATCAAACTTGCAACCAAATTTGAACTCATCCTTGAGTTTTTAGAAGTACGAACTGTAGCTCCATAAGTATGCTCATCATGTAGAGTCCTAATATAGAAAAAATTATTAGCACTTTCTAGAGATGCATGTACTCGCCATAAACAAGCTTTCGACTCCCGCATTGAACACATAGCAGTGATCCGACACTTCTCATTCTTCACATACACAAACTCAAATCCTATCTCAATGGCATATTTACATAATGCAGTTCGAAAATCCTTTGCACCTCCAATAAATCTTTGACCTACATGAGTAATTCCATTCACCCATCCACAAGACAACAAAGTCCTTTTTTCATGTTGACAAAACATAGGGAGTAAATCCATTTCATCATCAGTAATGTTGAATCCAGTAACGTCCCCTGATTTTCCAACTCCATGTTTTTCATTTGAAATGCCCATTTCAGTAATAGTCACATCAACCCGATCAACGCCAAGGGGATAAACAAGCGACAACATATTCTGAAAATCAGAATCATCATCAATCATGCATTACGAATGTCCAGGCAAACAATACGATAATAGTATGTAACCACTATTATCAAACTTCTTTAATTTACAACTTAAGAAATCAGTTAAATCCTTCAACGTGCAGTTTGACACAACCTTGAACACAATGGTACGATCACCATACTTGCATAACAACTTAAGAGGTGGAACCATTTTACAAATCTGCAATCAATTAATAGTAAAATTTTACTGTCACTATCAAAGTAAAAGTTTACTATCACTATCAAAGTAAAATTTTACTGTCACTACAATTTGTGTTTAGTTTGAATTGATAAAATTTTACTGTGGTTTAGTGTAACATTGTACTATATTTTATAGTTAATTTTTACTATTTAGTTTGCCAAAGATTAACAACTTATACAGTGTGTCACCAACACAACTTGAAACATGAATTTAAAAGTAAAATTTTACTCTGCATAAAAGTAAAATTTTACTCTGATATAGGAGTAAAATGTTACAAAAGGAATCTAAAAGTAAAATTTTATTATGCATAAAAGTAAAATTTTACTTTGCATGAGAGTAAAATTTTACTCTGAATCTAAGAGTAAAATGTTACGCCCTGAATTTAAAAGTAAAATTTTACTCTGTATAAAAGTAAAATTTTACTCTGTTTGGTGCAACTTTTTTGCTAGTAAAAAATTGATAACTAAGACGCATAAGCTAAAAGAACATATCTCCCCTATCTCCTCAATAATCAAAATTTTACTGTCATTCTAACACCAGAGTAAAATTTTTCTCTCATTGTAAACAGAGCAATAGAACCAAAGTAAAATTTTACTCCCATTCTCTGAAACAAAAGACAGAGCAATTGAACCAGAGTAAAATTTTACTTTCATTCTCTGAAACAAAAGACACAGCAATCAAATCAAACGCAACAAAAATAAATAAAAAAAAAAAACAAACAAACAAAGAAAAACAAAAAAAATTAATTAACAAATCAACATATCTAATTGAGAAGAAAAACCTCTACAACTCGATCAACAATCACAAATCTCAATGAAACTCTCGTTTAATTGAGAGTGTTGATCATCAGCCACCAAGTGAGAGATGTTCGGCTGCGAGATCGTCTATTGTTGAACAAGTGAGAGATGTTCGGCTGCGAGATCTTCAGATTTGGAGCTCTTCATCGATTTTGTGAAGTATGATCAATTTGGAGATCGTCTTCATCGTCTTTATCGGCTGCGAGATCTTTAGCTCATATTTCAAAATTTTCAAACGTATGATACTATATATATAAGGGCAATATTGTGATAAAAAAAATTAGAAATTATAAAATGTCCTTATTGAGGTAGGCATTTTCTACTCAGGGACTTTTTAAAAGAAAATTGATTGAATTATCCTTTACCTTAATAAAAAGGCCCAAAAGGAGGTTTCACCAAAAAATCTCATTTTTAAAACCTAAATTATTAAACAAGTAATTGAAGTAAGTTATTCGTCAAGTTTGGCAACTGTTGCCGTTGACAATTTATGGTTCCTGTGCCAGAGTTAGGCTATATTTGTTTCATGAATTTAGATTAAATTTTTTTTTAAAAAAAAAGTCTAAAATATAAATAAAATATAATTATATTTCATTTAAATTTTACTTATATTTTTTTTCTTTTCTTTCTAAATTCATAACCAAATTCATGAGTCAAATACAATTTTAAATTTTAAATCTAAATTTATAAATTCAATTTAAAATCAATAGCATACACCAAAACAATGATCCAAGGCAAAATCAATTTTAAAATCCAAGAAGCATGCATGGCCGTCAAACTAAACGTAGCGATGATGACAAAACATTTTTCAAGATTCCAATGGGCGACTATCTCTATGCTTTACCAACGCATCTTGCCTTCCTAGATTGAAACCTTTTGGCTAAAAATGCTAGGGCTGTGATTCCATGGGACTGTCTAATGTTGAAACCTCTCCTTAAACGACCAATACCATACCAAATCACCAATAACTGAGCATATAGTCCTAATTAACAGCAAATTAGTAAAAATTAATTCATTTTGATCACATTATTTGATTGGAATACACGACTTATTTTAATTTGATTTGTTATGTGCTTTAGTTAGAAGGCAATAATCTTGGTATGCCACTGAGTGATTGATTTAGTGTATAAGTACTTGAATTTTCTCATTTAATGTTTGGATTAAAGTTTCCATAGTTGCCCAGTAGGCTTAAACGTACTCTTTGCGACCAAAGCACATTTTGAGACTTGTGGTGGCCCAAAAAATGTCAGATTATTAGGAGTAATTCAAACAAGTCCTAACAATGAGCTCAACCCCAATAAGGAAGCACATTAAGTAAATATCGCACTCACTTTTGTCATAACCCAATCTCAGTACCTAGAGTCTAGGCGTCATGACAAGACAAAACATAAGTCAATACCAAAATATATCAGATGAAATACACAGTGGAATAAAATAAAAAGGGTACCCAAATATTTATTTCATTAAAACATATATTGGAGTTTTTTATTGTATACAATAACAAAGCCAAGCTATATTACAATGTGCTCAGTGTCTAACCAAGCCCTAGTCCAGCTATACCAACGTACGGACAAGGGAACAAGTCCCTCCTTAAGCATCATCATCTGAAAGTGGTTAACAACTATAAACACATGGCAGAATGAGAGATATTATACTAAGAGCATAAGAGTATAAAAATCACCATGAATAATTATTTGGGCTAAACAGAGATTTGTTTGGTAACAGAAATACATAAATCATTTTAAATAACAGAAGTATAACACAAAAATCATATAAACAAATAATCATAACCACGATACAGAAGATGACAAAATTGAACAAGTATATGGACTCAAGAGATGACTCATACGAATTCTAGAGGTGACTCATACGAATTCTAGAGGTGACTCCTACCATAGTATAACATTTAATTCTGTACAGTACTTTACTCCACACCAGAAATCAGAGGGCCAGTGAATCCATGGCAACAGAGAGTCACATATAGTGATAATTCAGAGGGCTAATGGATATTAAAGTCTCCCAAGGCATGGAACCCCGTTGTGGTACTTACAAAACAATTGTTCAAAAGATATTTAGTAACAATTATATTAATGGATTTTTCTTTTTAAACAAATAGGTTTTATTTAACAAATAATATATTTTTAAACTAATATGATTTGTAAAATTGATTTACATAAAACAGTTTATAATAACTTAAATATAATAAAACTCACCTCAAAATTAATAGTATACTCTCACTTCTAATTTCAACCCACTCTCCCATATACTTCTCATTTGCTATTCTTGAAAAGGCCTAAGGCCTAGGGATGGCAATGGATAACCTACCCTGTGGGTATCCACAGAGACCCAACCCAAATACATGGGTTTTCCCCTCTTTTTCTTATCCATTGGGTAGGGTAGGTGATATTCTTTAAATATCCACAGGGGATGGGTTGGGGATGGGTACCCACTAATTTCCCCATATGTTTTTTTTTTGGGAAGTTGGTAAAAAGAAGCTATACATTCAATCTTATTTTATTTTATTTGGCTCAACAATAAAATCAAATACACATTAATTAACATTGTCACATTATTCTTGTCAAATTTTATGCATATCTAGAATTTTTAAAATTTATTTAAAAAAAATTAAGGACACTGTCTAGTGTAGGTTTCGGTTTGCTTTTCTATGTTATTTTATTTTGTTGTGTATTGTAATTTTCAGAATGGTTTGCTTGTTCTGAAATTTCAATTAACGAGTATGAATCTATTTGTTTTATGTTATCACACAATTTATACAACAATATATTATATATATATATAATGAATGTTTTGAAATAAGGAAATTGTAGAGAATCAAAACAAGCATGAGTTGTGATTGGTTAGAAATGATGGGTACATAGATTTATTTGCTAGAAAAACAAAAGGGGATACAAAGTCAATACTAAATAATTTTTTTTAAATTAAAAAGAATTTTTCTTAGTCTATGACAGATTTAACTGAAATCAGCTTGTTTCCAATGTTATGCTTCATTTATTTAGATAGAAAATATTTTTTAATGAAAAATATTTTTTATAAAAAAATTCAAAATTATTTTTTTAATTTGGTGATGGTGGTGATGGAAGAAGGTGAAAGTAGAAATTGTTACATAGTGGTGGGGTGATGGCGGCAGTGATGATGGTAGTGGCTATGGTGATGGTAGTGTGACAGTGAAAGTGAGAATAGTGGTGATAGTGTTGTGAAATTAGTAAAAATTTAATTGAAAAAATATTTTTTGTTTTTAAAAGTAACAAACAACAAAATCCGTGGGGGACTAAAGGAAGAAGATGGAGGATGGATTGAGTGTGGTAATACATAGATATCTTAAAATGAGTGGTTCAGATTTGTTAAAGGTATAATTAGATTTTGGATAAATTAAAATGAATTGTTCAAATTTGCTAAGAGAAAGATGGTTTAATGTCTAAATTGTCCGTGGCTAACAATTCCTTGTTTATGCCCTGATGCAATTTAATATGAGTCTTATAACACTTTCTTCAAACAACTTTTTGATTTTCTCAAATTATATATTTGATTATTATAAAACAAACTTTTTAATTAATTAATTAATGTGTATTTGATTTTGTTTGTTGAACCAATAAAATAAATAAGATTAAATGTATATTTAGCTTTTGTTGTGAACCTTAAAAAATAAAAATAAAATAAAAAATAAGTTGTTAACATTAAATATATTAAAAAAGAAAGAAAAAAGATTAAAGGTATATTTAGCTAAAACCTTTAAAAAAAAAGACAAGAGAAAACAAGAAGGTTGTTAACATTAAATATATTAAAAAAAAAGAAAAAAGATTGAGGTATATTTAACTTTTTGTTGTGGACCTTAATAAAAAATAGAATAAAAAAAAATTGTTAACATTAAATTATTAAAAGAAAGAAAAAAGATTGAAGGTAATATTTAACTTTTGTTGTGAACCTTAAAAAAAAAAAAATAAAAATAAAAAAAATATAAATAAAAATTGTTAACATTAAATATATTAAAAAGAAAGAAAAAAGATTGAAGGTATATTTAACTTTTGTTGTGAACCTTAAAAAAAAATAAAAATAAAAAATAAAAAAAAATAAAAAAAATTGTTAACATTAAATATATTAAAAAAGAAAGAAAAAAGATTGAAGGTATATTTAGTTTTTGTTGTGAACCTTTAAAAAAAAAAGAAGTGGTTGTTAACATTAAATATAAAAAATAAAAATGGGGATTAAAGTGGGTTGAGGAAAATCCATACCCATTAAAAAATGGGGAGGGTGGTACCAATGGGGAATGGGGAATGGGGAATGGGGAAAATTTATTATAGGGGAATGGGGATGGGGAATTAATATCCACCCCATTGCCCCCCATTGCCATTCCTACTAAGGCCTCGTTTTGGAACAGGCTAATTTAATAATTTTTTGACTATTTGGCTATAATATGAGTTAAAAAAAACTAGTATGTTTGGGATGACTTTTTAACTTTTTACGAAAAAATATGTAAAAAGTAAAGAGAAGAGAAAAATTTTGACTTTTTAATATAAATTATTGACTTTTTAATTTTTTTTTAATAATTTTTTAATTTTTTAACTAAGTGGAATGGTTCCCCAATGAGGCTTTAGTATGTAGCTCTATACTGCACAATTCAATATTGTGCAACCATGCGGTGAAGCCACATGGCACACCAAACAATCTACGTCTCCTTCAAATGCAACAAATGCATTGCACAAGTTCCCCAAAAAATTGCACACTCTCTCCTAATTACACTTGGCCCAGAATAAATATATAATTACATTATAACTTTTGATAAAACATAATAATTCCTAATTTCAAGTTATATTTTAGTGCATATAATCATAAAAGTATAAATGATTTTTCAAGTGTCTATTTAACTAATAGTTTTGATTGAGACCCCTAGTCTCCAATCACCCCCACCACCCTTATACACATGTGGAGGTTGGTCATTGGATCAAAAAAAAAAAAAAAGGGCCAATCACAGCCTACTGGGCCCTGGGGTCAGGGCATTTTCCTTTAACTAATTTAACTTAAGGTATTTCAAAATAGATTATCATATAATTTTCATAAAACTATTATTTGGGTTGTTATAATTTCTATATGAAAAAATAGATCTATTCTCTTTGCTTGAAGATTCTAACTTTATTATCAGAATGTCTTCGACTGGCAACCTCGATTGGATGGTGTCAACCATGTTTATTTCTACAGATCTATAAGGTAAAATTCATCTCCTCATTGACTCTCATCTATGCAAGAGGATTCTTCAAGTCTCACAAGATCTTATGTTTGGCCCACGCATAAATGCAATTTACTGTGTGACGTTGGACCAGTCTATCTACATTTTCATTTATGGGATTTGAAAAAAACAAAAACAAAAAAACAAAAAAAAGTCCTAGGTACTGAAACGAGGAATGACAAAATTATGTTTGTCTTTTAATAGATATAAATATATATTGTTGTATTTATTTTATTTTGAGAAAATTAAATAACATAATCATCATGTTTATCGAAATCTCTTATTTTTTTGGTTTTTTTTTATTGTTTTGGATTCAATGAGAGAGGAATAGAGAAGGAAAGTTACACTTCCACTACAGGAAATTCATTTTTTAGCGGCGTTTAAAAAACGCCGCGAAAATCCTGAAAAACGCCGTATTATCTTATAGTGACGTGTAAAATTTTCGCCGCTGATAGGGCCGCCGCAATAGCTACACAACGTTTGAAAAACGTCGCTAAAAACATTATACGGCGTTTCTTAAAACGCCGCAAAATATTTGACGACCGTCCGTCCCCAGTAACGTGTGACGTGAGAATGACGTCATTTAGTGGCGTTTTTCGAAAAACGCCACTGTTTTTATTTTTATAATAAAATATGTGACGTCATTTTGTGGCGTTTTTCTGAAAACGCCACTTTTTTTTCTTTTCTTTTTTTTTTTGGGGGGGTGGTTGGTGGGTTCCCTGCTGCTGTTGCTGGTGGAAACTGAATTCACAATTTGGGAATCTCATGTTTTATGTTTGCAACCAAACTACTAAATTTAAAATCAATCCTCAATACATGCCATATACATGCATAATATAATCTCACCAGAATCATCATTTCAAGTAAAAGTTTCACATCTAGTGTCATATACATGCATATTGTCAACTAAGACATCTAAACAACCATGAGTCAGTAACACATTGTTTCCATAGGACGCAATAAAAGTATAAATGATTTTTCAAGTGTCTATTTAACTAATAGTTTTGATTGAGACCCCTAGTCTCCAATCACCCCCACCACCCTCATACACATGTGGAGGTTGGTCATTGGATCAAAAAAAAAAAAAAAGGGCCAATCACAGCCTACTGGGCCCTGGGGTCAGGGCATTTTCCTTTAACTAATTTAACTTAAGGTATTTCAAAATAGATTATCATATAATTTTCATAAAACTATTATTTGGGTTGTTATAATTTCTATATAAAAAAATAGATCTATTCTCTTTGCTTGAAGATTCTAACTTTATTATCAGAATGTCTTCGACTGACAACCTCGATTGGATGGAGTCAACCATGTTTATTTCTACAGATCTATAAGGTAAAATTCATCTCCTCATTGACTCTCATCTATGCAAGAGGATTCTTCAAGTCTCACAAGATCTTATGTTTGGCCCACGCATAAATGCAATTTACTGTGTGGTGTTGGACCAGTCTATCTACATTTTCATTTATGGGATTTGAAAAAAACAAAAGAAAAAAAAAGTCCTAGGTACTGAAACGAGGAATGACAAAATTATGCTTGTCTTTTAATAGATATAAATATATATTGTTGTATTTATTTTATTTTGAGAAAATTAAATAACATAATCATCATGTTTATCGAAATCTCTTATTTTTTTGATTTTTTTTATTGTTTTGGATTCAATGAGAGAGGAATAGAGAAGGAAAGTTACACTTCTAATGATAATATCGAACTCATTCATCAAATTTAGTAAAAAAACATCTCTTATTTTTCACTAATTGTGATCTCATTTTTAGTGCACAATATACTATGCGCACTGCCAACGAATGATGCGATTGTAGTGCCTATCCTAAATATAACGTCCACATGGAGAAATTTGTACTTTTACTTTAAAACTAGTTTGAAAATGAATAGGGAAAAAAAACAATTTAAGTTCTAAGACATAGTTACCTACCTCCCTCGTATTCTTCTCATCTAAAGTATTGTTTTATACACTACCAAATGAATACAAAATATAATTTACATTACCAGCTCATAAAAATATGGAGGAGGATTCCTCTAATCCAAAATTTAGATTGGAGGAGATTGTTTAGGCTCACGGGGGTCTACCACATGTTCTGTTTTGATTATTCGAACCGTTCATTTTGTCGGACACTTTGTGTTTTTCATTCATAAAAAAAATTAGATCGATCCAATAATTACAACTTGTTAAATTTATTATTTGTCATCAAAAAATATATGGTTCAATTTTTTAAAACACAATTGTGGTCCTTCTTTTTGTGAAAAAAATATAAGAAATTGAACAAGTTGCAGTTATCGGATTGACCAAATTTTTGTTATGAATAAAATACACGAAGTGCGTAACAAAATAAATTGTTCAAATTATTTAGATGGGATTCGTAATAGATCACACGGCCCTAAACAATTCCCTAGGAATCCCCCTCCTAAAAATACAAACTCATGCAACTTGAAAGCAAATAAATGATAGGTTTATAATGTACTAATTAATATTATATTTTACATGGAACCACTCCCTAATGGAAAACAATCTTAAAACATTGCAAAACAATCTAATTAAGTCAATTCCATCCCACACCAGCTCTCTTATATTATCAAAAAATTGTCTATGATCTTCTTTTCCCATGGATCATAATCATATATGACCGTTCGGCGTTTCACCAGTGTTTGAGAAGAAGATGGATGCAGAGAAAAATATGATAGAGAATGGAGAGACAGAAAGGAAAGAGATTAAGAAGAAGAAGAGGGAGGTTGGAGGGATTAAACCAATTCCATTCATCCTTGGTAAGTATTGTTTTCATTTTTATTTTCATTTTGTTGCTCTCAACTTGTTTTTGTTAATTTCTCTCTAGCAAAATACAACATAAGTCTGTTATTTTTCTCAATTGTAATTAGTTTACAGCATAAGTTAAGCGATAAATTTTTTTTCCTTAATTTTTATTACCTTGATATACTTATTTTAAGTTAATACAACCAAAAAAAAAAATGATAAAAAAAAAAGTGAGAAAAGTTTGTTTTTGTCACTCTCTATTTTTTTTTTGGTTTTTTTTGGGTTTTTTGTTGTTGTTGTTGTTGTTTAATCTGCAAAAAGAGACAATTTTATTAATGAGCTTGTTTTTGTTATCTTAAATCACGTCTCTATTAGATGATTTATTTCTCTAACTCTAATTCTGTAGTAGAGAAGAAGTTTGGATGGAAAAAAGCACAGTGAGACAAAAAATCCTCGAACAAGCTCAGTGTTTGACTTGAAAATTTTAATACAAAATCAGAAGTTTCCCGTTACTCAACCCAAATGAGTATTTTTTAGAACTTCAGAGAGTAATCCAGAGGAGTATAGTTAGTTGGAGTGCGTTGTCTAGGTCTGTGGGGACAATTATAGGTTTTATTTACAATTCAAATAGTTCCTTTTCTTAAGCACATAATGTATATTATTCATATAAGGCCAAGTTTGGCTACCCAAAATAAGTACACACTTTTTATCTTTTTATCTTTTTTTCATCACATCACCTCTCTACTTTTCTGCACATCTTTTCATAAAAAGACAAAAAGTACACTTATTTAGGTCATCCTAAATAACCCCTAAAAAAAAAATAGGTCTATCCAATAATTATAATCTATTAAATCGCATTTGTCATAAAAATCATGAATAGTCTATTTTTATAAATATGTTGTCCATTTTTTTTAGCAATAAACCCAATAAATTGAATAGCTTGTGATTATTAAATGAATGTAATTCTTTTTGTGATTGATATACATGAAGTGTTTGAGAAAATTAACAGTTCTAATCATTGAAATGCGGCTTCTGATGAGTACCACAAGTCTGAAGTTTTCCAATCAGGATTATGGACCGGAAGGAACCCACCTCCTAATTCTACTATGAACACAAAAATCAAACAATAATATTATAAATTCAGGCTTAATTACTTAGAAATTACTCATAATTAATTCAAATTTACTATATACATAGATTTCACAATACGCAAATGAGAAATGTTAGAGATCATGAAAATTTTGTCATGAAAAGGATCATGAAAAATTTGTGACCTTTAGATTACCTTGATTAGTGTGTAGTACTTTATTGTAAGTGTAATCCAAAGGTCATAAATCTTTCATGACCATTTTCATGAAAGACTTTTCATGATACCTACCATTACTGTACACAAATTCAATCCCAACCACACATCTTCATTCGGAGTACATAAGTTTAGGTTCATAGACTTATTGAAAATCAAATATATAGAAGAAAAAAACACATAAATAGGATCCATTTGTGTATTTAATTGAGGATTTTGCAGGGAATGAAATAAGTGAGAGATTTGCGACGACTGGGTTCCAAACCAACATGATATCATACCTAACTCAAAAGCTGAACTTGCCACTGGTGCAGGCTTCCAACACCCTCACCAATTTTAATGGCACGGCCGGTTTCACTCCGTTGATCGGTGGACTCATTGCCGACGCTTTTGTCGGTAGATATTGGACCATAATCCTCGGTTCCTCTATCTATACTTTGGTATCTTCTTCCCCCATTCTTTTTTATAATACGTGTCAAATTGAGCATAGTATTTTATCATTTAAATTTGAATTTTGAATGTGTTTTTAGGGACCAGTTCATGTGGAGTTCAAATAATTTGATTTTTGTTTTTCGTTTTTTGTTTTTTTATAGTGTATATAAATCTTATCGAGCTAAATTATAAGTTGTTTGAGAATGACTTGAAAATTTAATGAAATCTAAAATGTGTTTAAATTTAGCTAGCATACATATTGAATTGATTAACAAGCCGAAATGACTTTAAGTTGAGTAGTTTTATTCGCTTAATTGGAATAATAAATAAAAATAGTTCCATTAATTTTATTACAATGTTAGCTCTTTTTTCTCTGTTATTTATTTATTTATTGGGTATTGTTATTATTATTATTATTATTTTATTTATGTGTATTTATAATTTTTATGCTTTATTCTCAATATGGAGAGAGAAGGAAATAGGTTGGACTTGATAGACTGAAATGCAATATTCTTGATGAAAAATGTTTGGGGGCCCTAATTCTGTGGCTCAAATGTGGCTCAAATGGCCAAAACGATTTTGATGTTGTTTTGTACTCAAAACGACGTCGTTTTGACCATTTGAGCCACATTTGAGCCACAGAATTTGGGCCCTCTACCATTGCTCATTCTTGATAGGGTTAATTATATTTTTAGCTTCCAAAGTATGTAATTTATGTCAATTTGATTCTCAATATATAAAAGTTATTTCAATATGATCTAACTTTTTCATTTTAATATATGTCATTGATATGAAAACTCATTTGAAAAATTACACTTCAATTTTTAAAATATGTGATTTTTGTCATTAATGTGAAATATCACATGTAAAAGTGAGCCACATTTGAGCCACAGAATTTGGGCCCTCTACCATTGCTCATTCTTGATAGGGTTAATTATATTTTTAGCTTCCAAAGTATGTAATTTATGTCAATTTGATTCTCAATATATAAAAGTTATTTCAATATGATCTAACTTTTTCATTTTGATATATGTCATTGATATGAAAACTCATTTGAAAAATTACACTTCAATTTTTAAAATATGTGATTTTTGTCATTAATGTGAAAAATCACATGTAAATGGCACTTTCAATATCAAAACATGTAATTGTCATTTTGATTTTCAAAATTACGGATTTACCCTTCACATTAACAACATCTAACTATATAGTTTGAATTGGGGTCCAAATTAAAATATTTTTTAGATATTCGAATTAAATTCACACAATATAAATATTGGAAACCAAAATAATACAAACCAACCTCATACATAAATTATACCGATCTCTTCTAATACCTCGGATAAATACAAATGGTTCCATTAATGTGTAAAAATTACACCATTCTTACTCGAAAGTTGTTAGCTCTTTAATTAGATTCAGCATCGGCGACAAAATTGAAACATTTTTTTTTTTTTTGGAACAGGGATTGGTGAGCATAATCATATCGGCAGTCCTACCAGGACTCCGCCCTCCGCCGTGCCCAACTCAAGTGGACTGCAAGGAAGCCTCAACCTTTCAGCTATCGATCCTCTATATTTCTCTCCTCCTCACATCTCTCGGATTAGGTGGCATCAGACCTTGTGTGATCACCTTTGCTGCTGATCAAATCGGCATGTCAAAGGCAGAAACAGAGTCTAGGAGCTGGAATTTCTTCAACTGGTACTATTTCTTCTTAGATTTAGCGACACTCATTGCTATAACATTCCTTGTTTATGTTCAAGACAATGTGAGTTGGGGTTGGGGTCTTGGAATTCCTACCATTTCCATGGCTTTGTCTATTGTGGTCTTCATTATTGGCTCTCGTTTTTATAAGAAAGAGAACCCAGAAGGGAGTCCTTTGGTTAGATTGGTTCAAGTGATTGTTGCTTCTGTGAGTAAGAGAAAAGAAGTTGTGCCAGAAGACTCAACTTTGTTGTACACAAATAAAAACCTTGATGCTTCTATTTCTTCCAATGGAAGGCTTGTACACACCAATGATTTCAAGTGAGTTGGTACTTTTCCGAAATTTTTTTGTGTGATTTTTTTTCGCATCCCTATCATGTTTTTAGTTATCGAGCTAATCCAACAACTTTTTTTAAATACCTTTTCTTTTACATTTATAGAAAAATCACAGCATGTTCTCTTACATAGTTGGGGTGGCAACAAAAAGGTGTAGCTCGCCTCATGAAAGAGGGGCATGTATCCGACTCTATGATTAATTTTGGTGCACTTAAAATTTCTCATACCGTTGTACCTAGTAGGCAAATAAAAATGAAAACCACATATATTATTGACCGGTTCTTGGTAAGTGTTGGTTCATAGGTAATTCGCAAACTAATACGGTTGATTTACATCTGATATGCCCAAATCCTAGTAAGTGTTGGTTAATAGCTAATTCATGAGCTGATATGGTTAGCTTACAATTGAGACAACCAATTCAGCTGTGAAAAAACCTTTTTGTTTTGTGGCTAATGATTTTAAATTATTCGTGACTGATTAGAGCACTCAATTTTTTATATGTATCACTCAATATTTTAAGTGCACTAAAACCAACCATAGAATATGATATGATACTTCAGATACTTCACGTGAAGTAATTCTCACATTTTTATAGGTCCCATTGGTTTATACTAAACAACCACATTCAAACAAACCATACGTCTGATTACTTGAACTTCTTTTGTGCACTGTGCTCCTCATATTTGAAGGTGGCTTGACAAAGCTGCGGTAGTAACAGACTCAGATCAAACACACTCACCAAATCAATGGAGGCTATCCACAGTGCACCGAGTCGAAGAGCTCAAATCCATCGTCCGAATGTTACCCATCTGGGCATCCGGAATATTACAAATTGCTGCATATTCCCATCAAGAAAGTTTTAGCATTCAACAAGGTCGAACAATGGATCGTCACCTCACCCACTCAAACTCATTCCAAATCCCTCCTGCAACCATGCAAGTCTTCGATGTTTTCACAGTGCTCATTGGCCTTCTGTTATACGAGCGACTATTCGTGCCCTTCGCTCGTCGTTTCACTAGAAACCCTACAGGCATCACATGCCTGCAGAGAATCGGTATAGGCTACACGATTTGCATTTTGGGTACTGTTGTTGCGGCTTTGGTAGAGATTAAAAGGAAATCAGTGGCTGCAGATTATAATTTGCTTGATAAACCGGTTGCGACTATACCTATAAGTGTGTTTTGGTTGGTTCCTCAGTATTCGCTTCATGGAATAGCTTTGGTTTTCTTCAATGTTGGGAAGTTGGAGTTTTTTTACGATCAGTCGCCAGAGAGCATGAGAAGCACGGCGGCATCGTTCTACTGGATAGCAATTGCACTTGGGAATTACGCAGGTATCTTGATCATAAATTTGAGTCGAAATTTTAAAAAATAAAAATAAAATATAAACAAAATAAAAATTAATGCTCTTTCTTTTTTTTTTCAAATCACTTTTTAAATTTATTATTCAACCGCAATCTTAGCAGTAAAGTTTTTTCTTAGTAAAAGGCTTATGTTCATTCTTATTATCGATTAAAATGTGTTGTTTGAGTTCATGAAACCCACCATCATTTTATTTCGAAGATTCATTTTGTTTATCTTTTAATTTGTAATTATTCATTAAAAAAATCAAACCGATTCAATAATGGTAATTATATATATTAAACCACATTTGTTTTAAAAAAATAAAATTAGATGACATGTATACTTTGAGAACATAGCACATAATAAAAATAATAAAATCATTATATTACGATTATGGGATTGATTTGAATTATTTTTGTTTATAAATAAACATCTACACACAAAACTAAAACATAAATGAAAGGGCTCATTGACGAGGAATTTATGAGAATCCCACAGCCTAAACAACACCATTTGATCAATAACTAGATTAGAGTTTGTTTGGGAAGTGAGTTGACTTTCTAACTTTTTGACTATTTTAGTCTGGGGTTAAAAAATCTCGTTTGAGTAGGGTTTTTTGACTTTTAAATTTTTTGTGAGAGAAAGAATGTAATAATTATGGGTTGGATATGATATTTTGTCTTATTAGACTAAAAAGCTTATTTTACTTTTTTGTGACTAAAATAGTCCTAAGCCCACCCTAACCCATCTTCCCAAACAGAGGCTTAGAGAGAAATATATTATTAATTTTATCTTGATGTAGTGTTTTATATCGATGTATTATCTTACTTTGAGTTAATTTATTTTATTTTATTTACTAAACTAAAAAATAAAATGACAGGTACGTTGATAGTATCGTTGCTTCACGACTACACAAGCAAAAAGAGCAATTGGATACCAAATCGAAATCTCAATAGGGGCAAATTGGAATACTACTACTTGTTTGTGTCGGGACTACAAGTTATTAATCTCATTTATTATTTCATATGCACTATGTTCTATACTTACAAGGCCTTGGAAGAGGTTAGTGAAGAAGCTTGTGAAGATAGATGTGCGGAATTGGCCAATATCTCATCTAGGCCTGTGGAGGAAGGTCATGGTAATGGAGAAACATTGATGTAACATAGAATTTTAAACAAAATAAAATCAAGACAATTATTAGGGTGTTTGTTACCGCTTAAATGACATTTTTATAACTTATTTAATTTTAGAGTTTGTACCAAACTATTTAATTCAACAATTATAAACTAGAAAAAAAAACTAATTAGTTACAAGACAGAACAAGGATGGTTTTAACTTTTGCTTTATTATTATTAATTTTTAACTTACAAAAAGATGCACAAAAAACAAGGCCATTGTGACTACAATGTGATTGGTTAATTAATGGACATGAATATTGAAATAAAAATCATGTAGGAAAATGAATTTATTAGATAGTATTTGGTAACGTTTACATTTTTAATTTATATTTACAAAAAAATTATAAATTGATTTTTGTTTATTTTTAAAAAAATATAAACTACAAACGCATTTGGTTTGGATAAAATATTTGAAAAATTTTAAAAACATAAACTAAAAAAAATGTTTGTTAAGGCCTAAAATATTTATATTTATTATTTATTATTTATGACAATGCGATCATACACATTATAATAAGCATTTATAATAACCATATTGATATAAAACCAACCATAAATAAATTTAATAACCACATTAGTAATGTTCATAACAACTGACATACAAATCATAATAATAATATCTCATTTCTTCCACAAACCATAAAAAACATCTTCCACGATCTATTATAAGCATAAACAATATTTCAGTTGTTTTTGACAGATTCCCAAATTTCACTAGCAATTTAATTTCTTATATCAAACATGTGACGTAGTTAAGGTTGACTAATGTCTACATTAATCGGTTGCTAGGAACTACTTCTTGCATGTCTCAAGCTGCTACTACCACCCCTACTAGGCCCAACATCTTCAACGATACGATCTGGATTGGCCCATTCAGTGAATAATGTGTCACCTTGAGAATGGATCCTAAGCCAGTTGTGTATTGTACAATATGCAATGGGGATGTATCTCTGCGTCTTAGTTGAATACGGAGGCATGTCTCTCAAAATTGGAAAACGAGCCTTCAAGACACCGAAGCATCTCAATCACATTGTGCAGGGAGTAGTGCCAATAATTAAACATTTGCTCCCTGTTTCTTGGTTGTCGACATTGAGTACGAAACTTATTTACATGGTACCTCTCACCACGGTATGGTGATAAAAAGCCAGACATATTTGTATAACCCGAATCAACAACATAATATTTATTTGTTCAACATGTATGTATCTATTATTATGGGTTGCCAGAAGAATATTAATTATAAATTAACAAAATGTCATATAATACGTATCTCTTGGTGGCATTGGAAATAAATTTGTTGGATCATGTACAGTTTCAATAAACACTCTTAAATAATTTGCAGTGCCCTCCCAACTGGCCAATACATACGTAAATTGCATGTCAAATAAGCAAACACACATTACATTTTGTGTTGTAACAGTATGCTTACGCCGATATGGTATTTGCTCTGATGCTGGCACCCTTGTAGATATGTGGGTACCATCAATTGTTCCAACATAATCCTATTTGACAAATGACTTTAATAATGCATGATATTTTACTAAAAATTATACTTCAAATATTCTGTAAGTGATTACCTTTACAAAATGGTAGAATCGTGGATTATGTCGGATTTTTGCAAGCACCTCAACAAAATTTTGAGGCCTTATAACTTGTTTACTAAGCCTAAATGCTGCCTTCAACACTCGATTAAAGCATTTGGAGATGGTATGGCCAAAATGTTGGAATTGCTCTTGGACAACACGATTTCGTTCGTTCTAACCAATTGTTAGCAAGAATATACAAACTTACTCTTGGACAGTTAGATAACATTAGTGTTCTAGTTTGCCATATACCTTAAGTGCCTCGCACAAACTAATAAGTACATCTGGTTCCAATCTAAAATTTTCCTTGGACACCTTGTTTCATTTCCATTCAATGTTTCTAATACGTAGTTATGTCCTTGTAACATGGACGTTCGGCATGGTCTAGGTCAAAGGTAAGTATGACAATATTCATTTAGTGCTACACACACCAGAAATTGTACATTTTCATCGTCACTGTCTGAGTCAAAAATCAAATAAAAAGCATGCATCGGCTTTATAAAAAAAAGGAACTCAATGATTGAGGGGGAGCCTCTGCTTTTACTCAACAAATACTGCTTGATGTCTAGTAGTTTGACTTTTCTCAATGATGTATAGAGTATCTTGCCAGAGGTCCAACTATCCGATCACTACCAAGATTAACTCTAGCTCTATGGCCTCTCAAGGTTTGCATACACACACATTCATTATATGAGCTCTCATGTTTGTCTTTGAGTTGTGCATTTATCTGTTGCTTATGATCATTGATCTTTGTTTATCCGTTCTACTCATGATATTGTGCTTCGTATTATCCAACTTGCAAGATTGCGGGTTTCATGGTTTGAGGATTATCTCATCTAAGCATCACATTCTTGCTATTATGCTAACCTCTTTTTGTTTCAGGTCCCACTTTCTAGTGTGAGGTATTTTTAACTGCTCAAAAGGGTGCATTTTGCCTTTGTTGTTTTTTCTTCCCCACTCGAGTGTCAACTATAGCACTCGGGTGTAGACTTCACTTATCCAATACTTTTGCAGAGTGCGCGAGATTTAGAGAGATTGTTTTTTGCGCTCGAGCACAACATTCTTGGCTCGAGCGGTGAGACACACGTAAATGAGTCTACTCGAGTGGTGGCTGTAATTTCATTCAAATAATAAGATTGTTTTGAATTTTATCTTTTGAGAAAAAAAGAAAATGTAACCACCAGAGTCAATTTAGTGGCCATATTAATCCATGATTCCATGAACCTAACTAGGAGTCCCTTAGGATTGAGAGAGCTAGCCACCATTATTTAGACGATGCAAATAAAAATGGAGAAAATGTCAAATTCATCAGAATACTTGTAAAAGTACTAACAAATGAGTCTCAATATATACTGATGATGATAAATTGAAGTCATTTCTTAGAGATTTGTGGAGACTTAAAATCTTTATGAAAGTATAGTAGATATTCCTAACCATGAGAATTGGCACACTATAGAGACACTGACACAATAATTTTAAAAAAAAAATACAAAATAAGACACGTGGAGACATTTGGTTTGGAATGAATGTATGAAAGATACATACAAAATACTAATTAAAATATAATTTACCACACAAAGAAAAACACTTAATTTTTAATCTTGAGATTGCCTAGACCTTCATGTATCACTTATCTGCATGTCTAAAAAGTGTTAATTGTGCAAAAATAAAACAAAGTTTAATGGTGATCCCCCTACTTTTGTATCATTGAAGCAAAATTTTCTTTGGAAATCCTATTAAAAGCATATTCTCATGATTAAAATTTTATTATTTGGTGCTATAATAGTACAATCTAATCTCAATACCTATATAAATAGTTTGGTCACCAAGAAAGCATATTATAGGATCCATTCTAGAACCAAATCTTAGGTTTAAACAAATTTCATATATATTTTTTTTTTTGGTTACCCACCCGGTATCCGACCCACTTTGGGCCGACTAATCCGGATTCGGGGGAGCAGTTCTGGATGGTTAGACTCAAGCCCCCTCCCAATTGGCGTTGCGGGGGATCGAACCGTAGTCCTCCCTACCAAGTCGAGCTCCAATCGCCACTCGACCAACAACCAATTGGTGTGTTATTTGAACTTATAAAATCCGCTACCATCCCGTTTCTTATTAATATAGAACTCATCTTTTTGTAAATTCAGAATTTAATAGTACATGTCGTTGGGCTGAAGTTGGGTAAAGTCAATTAGTGTTGAATTTCCTTCTTCTTTTTTTGTTTTTTTGTTGTGTTTGTTGGTGTTGGTACCATAGACCTGAAAATGAATCTTGTTTTCCCTGTCAATTGAGAAGATAATGACATGTCATATGCACTATTTTAGAGGTCCAGATCTTTTCTAAATGAAAAAGTATAAGAAATCAAAAAACTTAGAAATTGACATAGAATTCAGTATAAATTAATTTTCTTATTGTGGGGTCATTTCATAAATTATTGTCTATTAAATTTAAATTTGGATAAATTATAAATATTAATTGAAATATATATTTTTAAAAATAAAACGATAAATTAAATATTGCTGTATAAACAGAATTAATAGAAAAAATAAAATTCCTAACTACTGTTCTATACAACAATAAAATTACCTAAATTATTAATTAAAATATATTTATGATAGTATTAAAAATTATTAATTAACTTAATAATTTATTAATAAAAAGATTATTTATTATGCAATTAAAAATTTTAAAGAGTGAAATAAATTTTTTAAAATTATATTACAAAAAATATAGTATTAAAAAAAAAAAAAAAAATCTATAATGGAAGCACAACAGATTTACAATAGATCCACAAGGAACCACCAGCAATATTTATAAATAAATAAATAAATAAAAACAGATGTGTTTAAAAAAATGATAGAAGTTCTCGGTGTGAGAGAGAGAGAGAGAGAGAGAGAGAGAGAGAATGAGAAAGAGACTGACCTAAGATTGATTTAGTTGAGAAATTTGCAAGAGCTCTACAGTTTTGCAACAGATATGTTGTTTTAAAAAAAAAATCCATGGAAGCTCTCAGTGAAACACAAAGAGAGAGAGAGAGAGAGTGACCTGAATCTTCAAGTCTTTGAACAGCGTAAGAAAGTAGAGGAAGACGATGATCTAAAGTCAAAGATAACTTTGATATTACCGTTGTATTTTAGGAACTTGAAAATTGCTTCTACACAGTTTTGAGCACGAGACAAACTTACGCACCCTCCTAAATATTATTCATCTGCATTTTTTCAGCTTCCGTTTTTTGTTTAAAAACCAACGCAAACTTATTTTTTGAGTTTATAATTTTTGGTCAAATTTATAAACAGATACCAATCATTTATAAAGCAAAAGAAATTATCAAATAATTTTTTATGATAATGTTTTTAATTTTTATAAATATAAACTAAAAATCAAAATAAAATAGTTACCGAACAAGTAAATTGTAAAAGAAAAACTCAAGCCCTTAAAAATAAACAATAAATATTAATTTTAAAAAAAATGAAGATTGGTTGGACGGAAGATGAGATGGGTAC